AATATATATATATATATATATATATAACTTCACAACACTTATTTTCAATGAAGGATAAAGATAACATCTACGACTTTGAGTATGATAGAATACATTAACTAAACTGTTTAGGAATCATAAAGAGGAAACTATACTTAGACCGAACACTTACTTACAAATATACTAAGAGAAAAACCGATCAGTCATTAACTGAAATTCTCCACAAAAGAAGAATTCAGTCCAGACCGAATACTCAAAGGAAAATGGAACGGTCAATAATGAATTTCGGTGACAACCACAAGATTATACAGAATACTACAAACTTAAGAGCAAACCCTATATCGGTCAGTTCACATCAGTTGTAGCTCAAACACTTATACATACAAAACATGCACTAAAAGCAATACTTCATATTCATCCATGGATCAAACAAACATACAACCATTCAGAACAAGAAATCATAATCAAATTATATAAGCTTTCCTTACCTCTAGATATAGCCGAATGCTCACAGTTGAAGAATGTTGATCACCACTACCAGTCTTATACACTTTTAGATTTTTACGAAACTAAACCAAACACAATACCATAAGTGCTACCAGAATTTTATAGAAGAAGAAGATAAACTCATGCAACCAAAAATTGGTTTGCATGTGCAAGAAAACAACAATGCCGAGAAAGGAATGAACTTACCAGTTCAACCAACAACTCGATCGGTGCAAAAGAGAGCTCTTGCTAACCAGAAGATCTCAAACGTGGTCTGATTATTGATCAGAAGGAGAAAGGAATGAGAATTTTTGGAGAGAAGTACGAGATTTGTAGAGAGAAGGAGGAGAAAACGAAAACTCAGAATGTTTGGAAGAGAATGGTGCATGCAAAGAAAGTGGCATGAAATTTGAAAGTTTGAGTTTTCCACCACCGTTAAAACCGATCGGCCACTCCGCTGCCCACACCTGTCTTCCACTTTCTGATTTTCACTAACACCTGGCTTCCACTCACTTGGGTTTTTAAGGGTTCTGACAACGACAACGGTGACAACAACAACGACGCGAGTGGTGGCAGCGGCGACGAGAGCGGTGGTAGCGATAAGGAGAGTGGGGACAACAGCAACGAGAGCATCGACAACGAGAGTAGCAACAACAACGCAAGAGGGGAGACAAGACGCGACGACTATGACATGTGTGCCCTTAGACACAGAGGTAGAGAGATCTCGCGCGAAGATGAAAGTGGAGGGCGTGAGAAGGTATGGAGGAGGCGCGTGAGGAGAGAAAGTGGGGAAAGAAGTGTTATGTGTTATGTAAAGAAAAAGTAGGTTAAAAATGGACTTAGGTTTAACTAATATAAAATTAAAGTCTTGTTTTATTTGGAAAGACTTAGAATATTAATTTAAGTGGTAGAAAATTTAACAGATACAACAATTGTAAGAACTCATAAAATAGCCTGTTAAGAGTAGATAGATGTATTAAAGTAATGGGACCGAGAATTTGTGTTAAAATAAGCTAACCATTATTTAAAACACTCAGTTCATTATCTAAATACATTCTATCTCTCTAAAAACACTATTCTCTACCCTTTCTCTCCCTTCTCTCTGGATTTTTCTCACTAGAGATTCATCTGATTGGTGATCAGAAGCTTCCTAGACGATCCAGACGTCAAGAGCTTTCTATCCCACTGATCAATTTCGTGTTTAGAGCCGGTAAGTTTCGTTTCCCTGGAGTTTTGTGAAATTCTGAAACTTTTAGCACATGCAAGCAACATTTCGGTTTGCATGTGTTCATCAGCTTTCTCTCCTCAATTTTGACTTGTTTCTTGGTCCTTTGGTTGGTCTCTTCTTACAAATCTGTGAGCTATAGGTGTTCTTAAGATTTTCTGGTGTTGTGAGCAAGTTTTCTAGAAGGATAGAACTTGTTCGGTTCGGCTAAGAGGTAAGGGAAGCTAGTTAATTTAATTATGATTTTCTATGTATGAGATTGTTGTTTGGATGGTTACATGTGTGGAAAATTGCATGGTTGATTGTTCTGCATTGATTTTATGCTTGTTGAAATCTGTGAACTGGTTGGGAGTCTTCTAAGGTGTATTCTGTCATTGTTCGGTTATGGTTTTAAGGAAGTGGAGAGGTGAAAATGAGACTTTGGGGTCAGGAGAGAATTTAGTCAGTGGGGAAAGTCTAGGCAAGTTTCTTTAGACCTGTTAGAACCCTTAAGCCTCTCTAAAATGTGTCAAAAGTGAAAAATGGATGTTTGGTCATTGAGTGGTGATTCTGCATAATTTGGAGTTTAATCTGATACCAATTTCTTTAGGATGATGTGAGAAAGGTTAATGTATCCTTGGATAGGTGTAATTTGGTATATGAATCATGTTTGGAGGATTAGAAGTTGGGAAGTGGTAGGATATGGTGAAGATAGTGGTTGGTCATAATTCTACAGCTATTCTGCAGAATTATGCAGATCGCCGAGTGTCATTCATTAACCGTTCGACTTTCTTCTTGTGTTCGGTCTTAACTGAGTTCTACTTCTGTAGAGCTTCAGTTAATAACCGATCGCTCTTGTACTAGTATTCTGTTTTAGTCATAGCAATCGTTCTTAGTGAGGTGTGTGGTCTCTTAGTAGCGATCGATCTTAGTGAGTTGTGGGATCTCTTAGTAGCGATTGGTCTTAGTGGGTGTGTGGTCTCTTAGTAGTGATCGGTCTTAGTGGGTTGTATGGTCTCTTAGTGGTGATCGGTCTTAGTGGGTTGTATGGTCTCTTAGTAGTGATCGGTCTTAGTGGGTTGTGTGGTCTCTTAGTAGCGATCAGTCTTAGTGGATTGTGTGGTCTCTTAGTAGCGCTCGTTCTTGTACTAGTCTTGGACCTCGTACTTGTATAAGGTCTTAAATGCGTTCGGTCATTAATAACGCTCGGTTTTCTCTTCAGCTGTATCTATTATTGGTCGTTCGGTCTCCAACATTCACAAGGTGTTCGGTCTTGTTCTTCTATGTTGGTGATTTCTATTTGGCCTATATTCATAGTTATTCCAGTGTGTTGTTTTAATTAATTGATCCAATTGCTTTGATGACTTATGTATGCATTATCATAATGGTGTAAAAAGGAAAAGTACGGAATGATAATTGTAATATGGATGTGAAAGAGAATTCCAAGGAGGAATGTCTCAGGGATTTGGTATCAAGGTGGTGGTAAAGTATGAATATGGATAGCGAAATCCACGGTGTTCATCCTGACATTCTAATGATTACCAAGTCTCAAGTCGAAATGAGTAAGTCATGTCGTGAGAATAGCAGGAGGTCCTAGCCTATAGGGTATCATAGGTGAGTTATAACGGACTAACCCAGTGTGGCAGCTGAGGGTATCTAGTTACTACATCACCTGGGTGCACGAACGGCCCAAGCAACATATTCATACAATCCGGATGGTCAAGTCAAGTGTTCGGTCATTCTTTTTGTAATGTATGGTCGTTCATTGTATGCTTTAAAGTGTTCGGTTGACATGTGCTTATGTATTTGTTTAATTTGCATGATAACTGTAATCAATTAAATTACTCTAGCTTACCCTTGCTTTTCTGTCTTGTCTATGTTATTCGTTCGATATTTCTTCTTTGCAATGATCATCCGATGGGTGTGAGCAGAGGATGACGAGCGTTCTTTGGAGCAGGCGCTGGATGGAGAGGACCCAGCTGCTTATACTAGGACCGATCGGTTGTGTGTATAGTTTTGTAGGGATCAGTCGGTCATGCATATAGTTTTGTATTAGGATAGAGTTTTGTAAAGTTTAAATTTATGGTTATTTTAGTATAACTATAAGTTAACTTTATTCTCAGAAACTGTTCTATTTCATCGTTGCATGTGATGACTCTACAATATAGTTTATACTATATTTTGGGATATTACATTAATGGTATCAGAGCAGTTCGTTCTTAAAACGACTTGTGAGTTGTGGGTTTGTCGTGCCTTTCCTGTGAAAAGTTGAGTCTAAATGGTATATTCTACCATTTCCTACAAGTCTAGATAGTAAAATTGTCTATCTAACTGGAAGTTTTGAGAACATAAAATGTCTTGATAGAAGTAATGAGGGTGCACACTCATGACTTTTACTAGAAATGATTTTCCTTTCTTAATTATGAAGGTTTAGGGTAAGAAAGAGTTGGGGTTCCAACGTTGTTTTCTATAGAAATTTTTTTCTTGTTCTTGCCTTTGTGATAGTGTACTGTGCTTTATAGTAGTAGAGGAATGCAGATTCAAGGACAACTTGACCTGTATACCTTCATTAGAATTGGTTTAAGGCTTTGAGACAATTGCTTGCCTCGAAGATAAGGAATGAGAAGACCAAGATTTAAGTTTCGTGAAATGGGTGGAGATATTGGTAATCTAGAAGTTATGTTATTGTTTTGGGTGAAGAAGTTTTCAAGAAAAAAGTTAGAAGATCAGATATTGTACGTTTCACAAGAAGAGTTGAGTTCAAAGGCTAGAATAAAATGAGCTTTGGGTAAGTGATGCACAAATTTATGATCACCAAAATATGATGTCACAAACTTGTTTAACAATCGGCAAGTATGACCGAATCGTTTCAAGTAATAAACTCGGTAAGACCAAGTATCGTTCTCCCAAAGGACTCACGGCCTAGTTTAGTTATGTGATTTATAGATTAGCTAAGACTTAAGACAAAATAATTGGATTTTACTATGCAAAAGACGAAAATAAACATGTATGCATGAGGTTGATCAATGGCTAAAACAAAAGACAAGCACTTTCAATGAAATATATTGATGAATATGTTGTTGGGGGTCAATTTCATCTTATCCACTCTCATATATTTTAGGAATTCAACATTCAAGTCATCATTGTTAATGCCACTCTCTAAATTACCTTTCAAGAAGGCTTCTCCCTAATTACGAGTTCATAC